GGGTGCGGGCGGCCGTGGTCCTCCAGCGCAGTGGCCGGCAGGCGAACGCGGAACGGCCCGCTGCTACCCCAGGCGGTGCTCCTGGCACATCGATCAGGGACACCGTGCAGGGGCCTGGCACCTGGGGAGGAGATGGGAGACAGACTTCCATCAAGTTAGGGCCTCCTGACGGGGGAGAGCACCCCAGTTCCTGGGGAGGAAACCGACCCAGCCTCTCAGCGTCCGCAGATCCTCACACCTGCTCCCCACTGGCACCAGGAGGGGATGCTTGGAGGATGCTCAGATTTAGAGCCTCTTAAGGGGCAGAAAGAAGCTGGGATCCCCTTCCTCAGGAGTCCCAGCAGGGCAGAGCAAGGGTGGGCGTGGGGCAGCCCGCGGTGTGCCGCAGGCCAGGGTGGAAGGCCTTAGGGCTCCGGGCTGGGCATCGTGGAGGGCTGTCTGCTTGCCTGGCGCTGGCCCTCACTAACTGCAAGGTGGACACTCGTGTTCTCTTCATTGGGAGAAGACTGGCCAGAGAGCTGAGCTGAGCTTCTTGAGGCCATGCTGGTTAAGGGTGCACACCGGAGGACAGATGGGCCTCCTGTGTGGTCCTGTAGCTGGCTGCTCAGAGGCAGGTGGGAGTCCGGGGGGTGGTGAAGGGACAGGCTCCCCCCCTCCCCCCCCCACACACATACACACATACAGACCTGTATTGGCCGGCTCCTGCCTTGACCTCTGACACAGAGCTGCCCAGGGCCTCTGGGTAAGGTGCTCCTGTGGGGGTCCTGTGCCTGGGGGTGCTGGGCCTTGGTCTCTTCACAGCCTGCAGTTTAGAGCCCTGCCCCAGACTGCCCATCTCCCAGGATGTGTTTTTAGCACCTAAAGAGACCTGGCTGATAACTGGGCAGGGAGGCTTGGGCAGGGAGGGGGCCAGGGGTGTGTGGATGTGGTTGACGCCTGCTGTTCTGGGGTGAGTTAGCAACGAGACCTGAGCTGACCCTGACCACTTCCACAAGGTGGCCCTACGTGTCAGATGTGGGGAGAACAAGTGTCCGCTCATTGGCGCAGGACCTCTGCCCCAGGACAAGTTTTTCTGTCAGCCCAGGCAGGTGGCCAACCTCAGAGCCCCAGCTCCTGCACAGAGGTGGAGAGGTCAGAGCAGGAGCACAGGGGGACTCCATGCTGAGGCCCTTCCCCTGTTGTCAGCCTCCCAGAGCCCGGGCGTGGGGATTCCTAATGACCATGTGAGTAAGGGGACAGTTGTATGCATTTGGCTCAAACCTGCCTGCCCTCCTTGCCATGTTCCCATTGCACTCTCCGTGGGTGAGGTGGGGCGAGCACCTCGAGGCTCACTTTGCAGAATGAGCGGAAGCCAGTGCAGGAGATGGCTTGGCGAGTGTCGGCAGCTCCCTGGGGAGCAGGTGTCCCAGACCTGGGCACCTCCTCCTGGGTTATCCCTCAGGGGACCACTGACGTTCCCAATCCTGGGGGACTTGGAGAGGTGGGGAGACTATCAACAGAGGCCTGGGAAGAATGGCTGGGTTGGCTAGCTGTGGGACTTTTTGCAAGTCCCTTCTCCTGTCTGGACCTCAGTTTCCTCCTTTGGTGAAGCAAGTGGATTAGACCAGACAACAGTGGTTTTCAAACTTTCATTTCACAGAACCCCGTATACTACGGACTGTGTGGGACTGCCCTGCCCCCCTCCCTCACCCTGGTGCCTCCCGAAGCAGAGTCTAATACTCCCTGAGATGACCTGTGAGGTCCCATCCTGTGGGGTTCTAGGAAGCCTGCCTCAGCGCGGGCACACTGCCTCGTATCCGGGCGACGGGCAGAGGTGTACACTCCAAGGAATCCATTAGCAGAAATGTGGGCATTAAGGTGGGTCTTGTCGGAATGTCCAGAGCCAGTGGCCAGTGCCCCGGCCAGGAGTTGTAGCTGTGTCCCTCCACTCTGTCACATGCTTTTAGCTTCTCAGGGCCAGAAAGGTGCCCGTGCATTGGGGTCCTTCTCTGGGTCCTAGGTGGTGACTCTGGTTCCACCTCAAGTTTCTTTCCTTTAATTTCATGTTTCTAAACTGGTGGGAGTTTGTCTTTGTCTTGGGGACGTGTTAGGAAAGGACTTTAAGCTGTTAGCACTTGTTTTACCTGATGAGATATCTGAGCAGTGGCCTTGAGAAGGAGGCTGGGGCACTAAATTCAAACCAGCCAATGTTTCCGGAGTGCCCGCTGGAGCTACTACGAGGGGACAGCAGTGAGAGTGTCACAGCCCTGGCCCTCACAGGGCTCCAAGGTAATAGGCAGGAGGGAAGGAATGCACACTTATAGGGACCTTTTAAAACATTTCACATTTGTTATCTCATTTGTCCTGTAAAGTAGGTATTAGTCTCATTTTTAAAAATGTAAAATTTTGATTGTATGCAAAATAAGTGTACTCCCATATATTCATATAAACACTATCCAGATAAAAAACAATGGCCGGGGCCCGGTGATGGTGTGGTGGTTGAAGTTGCTAGATCCCACATGGCTCACTGCATGGTTCAAGTTCCAAACCCAGTGGAATCCATTAGCAGAAATGTGGGCATTAAGGTGGGTCTTGTCGGAATGTCCAGAGCCAGTGGCCAGTGCCCCGGCCAGGAGTTGTAGCTGTGTCCCTCCACTCTGTCACATGCTTTTAGCTTCTCAGGGCCAGAAAGGTGCCCGTGCATTGGGGTCCTTCTCTGGGTCCTAGGTGGTGACTCTGGTTCCACCTCAAGTTTCTTTCCTTTAATTTCATGTTTCTAAACTGGTGGGAGTTTGTCTTTGTCTTGGGGACGTGTTAGGAAAGGACTTTAAGCTGTTAGCACTTGTTTTACCTGATGAGATATCTGAGCAGTGGCCTTGAGAAGGAGGCTGGGGCACTAAATTCAAACCAGCCAATGTTTCCGGAGTGCCCGCTGGAGCTACTACGAGGGGACAGCAGTGAGAGTGTCACAGCCCTGGCCCTCACAGGGCTCCAAGGTAATAGGCAGGAGGGAAGGAATGCACACTTATAGGGACCTTTTAAAACATTTCACATTTGTTATCTCATTTGTCCTGTAAAGTAGGTATTAGTCTCATTTTTAAAAATGTAAAATTTTGATTGTATGCAAAATAAGTGTACTCCCATATATTCATATAAACACTATCCAGATAAAAAACAATGGCTGGGGCCCGGTGATGGTGTGGTGGTTGAAGTTGCTAGATCCCACATGGCTCACTGCATGGTTCAAGTTCCAAACCCAGTGGCTTGAGAGACATGCCAGATGCCTGTGTGTGCCTGTCCAAAATTCTCAGAGGAGAATGGAGGAGAAGATTGCAGGGTGGCTGTCCCCTCTCCCCTGGGGAAGGATGATTCCTCTCCTTCCCTTTCTCTCTCTGACTATTGTACATGTCCTCTAGCAAAAAAAGAAAAAGAAAAAATAATTGCTAACACCCAGAAGCCTCCTTGTATCCCTTTCTAACCACCCCCCCCCGACCCCCTAGGGTACCCACTATTCTTAACTCTAGCACCATAGACCAGTTTGGCCTAAATGGAATCACACAGTATATAACCTTCTATGTCTGGCTTCTTTCATTCAACATTATGCTTGTGAGATTCATCTTGTTGCTGCAGGTAGCAGTAGTTTGTTCATTCTCATTGTCTTCTCATTCTGTTTGGGTTGATATACTTCAGTTTATTTATGGATGACGCTTTGGTTGTTTCTGATTTTTGGTTATTACTGATAGTGCTGCTGTGCACATTCTAATGTGGGCCATTTTGGAAAATATCTGCACACATTTCTCTTAGGGATGCCACAGGAAAGGTTTCCAAAGTGGCTGTCCAGCGTATATTCCCCCAGCATGATTGAGAGTTCTAGTGGCTCTACGTACTCGCCAACACTAGACCTTGTCTAAGTTCATTTTCCATGGAAATAACCTGAAGCTCAGAAAAGTTTTTCTATGCCCAGCTAAGACAATGTGCTTAGTAAGTGGGAGAGCCGGAATTCGAACCCAGGTCTGTGTGACTTTGGAATCTACGCACTCACTCCTTCTGGATTAGACATGGACATAGATTATATGATCCAGAATGCGACATGCTCTAGCCCTAAAAATGTATGAAGAACACTCATGGAGAATTTATTATTTTTAAAACATTTTAAAAAGTTTTGTTGTTGTTGTTGTAACAACAGTCCACAGAGCACTTGCCAGAGAGAGAGTGAGACAGTGAGAAATCACCCGCCGCGGGGGATGACCATGCAGCATTCCCTTCCCCTCCATTATCCTCTCAGGATTTTGGGCATGCACGCACTTATGCCCAGCATTGATTTTCAAGCTACCAGGTCTGAGACTCAAAATGCTCAGCCATGTGGGAATCTGCACCTTAACTACCATGCCACCTGCTGTCCCCACTCATGAGAAATGTGAAGAAGGGGGAATTGTCAACTATTTCAGGGAGGGAGAGCATCATAGAGCCTCACAGAAATGGAGCTCTTTGGGAGAAGCAGTCCTGCTGGGAGGGCTGTCCAGGTGGGTCCCCTGAGCAGTGGCACTACGAGGGGGGGGAGTTTTGGGGGAAGGAGAAAGGCCTGTTTTGGCTATAATATAGGATATGTGGAGGTGAGGGGAGTAAGACTGGAAAGGTGAGTTGAGGCCAAATTGGTGGGCCTTGTTGGTCCTTAGGGGCATCTCCTGCCCCCAGCCCTGGCCACCCAGAATGTGGAGCCTAAGACAGGCTCGCCGGTTCGCTGGGGCACCAGGGCATCTTCAAATCCAGCTCAGATCCTGGTAACGAAAGAAGCTGGCCTTTTGCTGAATGGGAGATATTAGCTGCTCCTGGGACCCCTCTTGGGATTTCTGCCAAAAAATTTCTGGAATTCTAGGACCAGCAGGTGGCGTGGTGGTTAAGGCACTGGACACTCCCACACGGCCAACCATGGTTCAAGTCCTGGATCTGGTGGCTTGCTTTCTCACTTTCCCTCTGTGTGTGTGTGTGTCTCTGATCAAATTAAAATAAATGAACAAGTAAAATTAAACAAATAATTCTTTAAAATAATTTTATGGAATTTTCTGCTTGCATCTAGCTATATGAAATTAGTGACCCCACTGCCCAGGACCTGACTCAAATGGCTTATTTGGAAGAGTGTTTTTTTTAGCAAAAAGATGGTAGACAGCCGTCCTGCCACCCCCAAGGGTGATCTCAGGAGATTTGCCAGGATCGCAGGAGCGAGGTGGCTCTAGTTTGTGATTCTTGTCAAGGCAAACTTACCAGGTGGACAAGCCCTTTTCCTCAGAAAGAGAATGGTCAGTCATTGGAATGGCTGTGGGGCAAATACCAGCCCTGGCCTGGGCGGAGGGACTCACAGTCGCGATCCTCCTCATCCGCACAGCAGTCTCTCCCTCTCATAATGGGTCCCCCAGGGATGTCTGAAGTAGGTCACACAGATAGACTGAGGGGGCACTGAGGCCCAGAGAGGGCGCCAACGGGTGGGTCACACCTGAGCTGGTCAGAGCCTCCTCTTTTCAGTGTCACCTGTTTGTCAGAGTGTGGGAGTGGTGGCCAGGCAGGAGGAGGGTGCATGATGGTTCCCCAGGCAGGTGACGTTGAGAGCAAGACCTGGTAGCAGCCAGCTCTGCGTGGCTTCTGCAGGGGTGTGTGCGTCTCAGCAGCGAAGAGGAGGGAGGTGGGAGCATCGGTGGGTTTCTGATTTATGGAAGGCAGAGGTGGAGGGAAGGGGGTGAAACACGTGCATCCTCCTGAGAATGAGCAGCGCCAGCCACTGGGTGTTGACCAGACATGCCCCTAGGTCCTGGTGCTCCCGCCCCGCCTCGCAAAACAGTCTTTTGGGACTGGTGGGGCCTGGGCATGGTTGGTGTCTGACGGGCAGGCAGAAGGAAAACTGCCGTGCCAGCCAAAATGACTGCTGAGAGACACCTCCATGGGCAGCTGGTGTTAGCTTTGCAGTTTGCAGTCTGTGCCCCGGCCTTGCCCTAAGGCATGTGGCTGTCCCAGGAGCAGGTGAGCTCCCTGGGGCAGGGGTTCCCAGGGGAGGATGCAAACAGTCTCTTCTGGTGGCGTGGTGCGTGCTCCCGTGGCTCAGAGGTGTCCTGTGGCACTCCGTGCAGGACCCTGGGTAGGCAGTCAGCCCCATTTCACAGGTGAGGAAGCTGAGGCCCCTCTGACAAGAAATGAGGCCAGGGAGCAAGATGCGGGCAAAGCTGGGCTTAGCACTTCAGGCTCCTGCCTCTTGGTCCCTGTGGTAATTGGTCCCACTGTCCCGCCCAGCATTCCCTCGGGGTGATGAGTGAGTTTACAGATCAGTTCAGACTCGCAGTTGGGTGGCACAGTCCCTGAGGGAGCTGAGGTCATGGTACTCCCTTATCTTTCTACAGCATTTTATAGTTTACAAAACAATTTCCTTCTTTGAGGTTGATTTTACAAGATTAGCTCCATTTTACAAACGAGTGGCAGTTCAAATGACTTACTCGAGCAAAACTGGGACTCGAACTGGGACTTCTGACCTACAAGTGAGTGGGTTCTGTTGTTTGTTTGAAACTGCATCACAGCTGTCTTTTTTCGCAGTAGATCTGAACTGAATGAAAATACCTGCCATTCACCATCATTCTGTTTCTCTGGGCTGCTTTGGGCAGGTCTGTAGAAGTCAGGAGGGTCTAGTGTTGGCTCCTTAACACACCTCAATGAGTTCAAGCCAAATAAGAACCACACATTGTCAGCCACAGGTGAGAAGAGGCACGAGCAGGGCCATGCCCGAGGGCCCAGAGCTGCGGGTTTTGTTACTTTAGCAGCCCCCTCGCCGCCGGTTACTTTCGAGCCGCATACTCTTTAACTCCTGCCAGTTTGCGTGACCATCCTAACTTCAGGTTTCTCTCCGTTTTAGGGCCGTATGGTCCAGGCCTCAATGAAGAGCCCAAACATGGAGGCGTTCAAACAGCAGAAGGTGGAGGACTTTTACGACATCGGAGAGGAGCTGGGGAGGTAAGGCAGGTGCAGGGGTGTGAGATGGAGTTCCGCCTCTCGGTGCAATGGCCGGCCTAGTGGGAAACCTTAAAAACAATGAGCCTGAGGTTTCTGTCTCTTCATGAGTAACTCTGAAAAGAGTCGTGTCCGTGGAAATAAAGATTAGCCAGCCAAAGGGGCTAGAATTGTCGAGCTCTGTGTTTTCGGTGTAACCTGGCTGACGCGCAAGGCAAACCTTAGCGATTCTGGTTTTACCTGTTACTTTGTTCACAAAACCCTCCCCAGGCTCTGGACAGAGACCTGCCCTGTTGGTTTTCTTCTCTGAGTCCCGCTTGGGATTTTCTGTGGTTCCCAGGATTTCGTTTTTTACGCTCTGAGTCTGAATGGGAGATGAAGTAATCTTCCTGAAAATGGATTTGGATTGAGTAACCACCACACGAGCCTAGTCTTGAAGTTTCCCGGGATCTGAGTTATGAGGTGTGTTTGCAGGTTTGCCAAGCCCAGAATGGAGCCAGAGCTACACTCGGAGATGGGAAAGTAGTTATTATTTGGATAGAAATGAAGATGTTCTGAAGCTCTCTTTTTGCCTCCCATTTCTAATGACTAATATTTCGATGACGTTTTAGTGATTACAAAATACCGGTGCTGAAGTGTGGTCTCACAACAATGTATGCGATGGAAATTATTTTTGCTCTCATTTTCCAGATGAGGAAACTGTCCAAAGAATTTAAGCCAAGTTGCCCAAAGTTGCTGAGCAAGCAGATGACATGGCCAAGGCTATGTAAGGGGACACCTGCAGGAAAAGCTTTGGCGCAGGATGGCCTACCCTGGCTGGGGCGTCCTGTGTTCAGCTGGGGCACCAGCCGCCCGGGGTTCTGGCTGATTCCTCCCACTGCCGAGTGCTCACAGCGGCCTGCTTGCGACGCTGGGGGCCGTCATTTGGGGAGTCCTTGCAGAGGTGTTGGCCTGTAGGCTTTGGCTTCTCCCAGCATTGGTAGCCACCAGCAAGGCTGAGCAGGAGACTTAGGGCCAGGCTCATAGGAGGAAGCCATTCAGCCCCCATTTATAGATGGGGCTAAGACCAGGGAGAGAAGTGGTCCTCCAAGATCACACGGGAAACTGGCGATAGAACCGGGGAGGGACTCATGGTTTGACTCACAGTCTGGGGCTCTGGCCACCCCACCATGAGGACCCACAAAACACAAAATTATTATTATTTTTTATTTAAGTTGAATGCTTCTGGGAATGGAAGATTATATAATGTAAGAATATAAGGTCTCTTCTGTTTGACTGGAGGGTATGGTAGCAGGATCAGAGTGAGAAGGGCATGCTTTGGGGAAGGAGTGATGTTCCCCAGAGGGAGGGAGCTGGCAGATAGGCCCTGTGATGGTTTCAGGGACCCCCCCCCCATGTACACAACTCCCGCGCATCCAAGGGTATCACGTAATTTAGTGAGCAGCATGTAATCAGCGATGTCTGGCTTCCTGTACTTCGATGGCTTCCCTTTATTTGGATTTCCTTTACCTATGTTACATATACTATATGTCTGCCAACATATATTATAGTATATGCAAGGTTTTTGCCATAGGGCACATGCACTCACTAGAGAGAGACAGACAGAGCTAGAGGGAGAAAGTGAGAAATTGCCTCTCCCCGGGGTGGGGGATGGCCATCCCACAGTCCCTTCTCTAGGCTCCTCTCAGAAATCTGGGCATGCACACATATGCACCTGGTGTGATTTTCAAGCCACCGGGTCTGGGACTCAAACTGTGGTCAGCCATGTGTGAGTCCAGTTCCTTAACCACTGTGCTACCTGCTGGCTTCACATATACTATATTAGCATCGAATCATAAAATGTTACTGCTGTACTGGACCTCAACAACAATTTAATAGCTGTCCCTCATTTTATAGATGAGGAAAGTGAGCCCCAGAGAGAGGAGGTGATTTGTCCAAGGTCCTAGAGCAGGGAACGGAGGAAGTGGAACTGAAAGGCAGAACCTTTCCAGCTACACTGTGCTGCTTTAAACAGACAAAACCTTTTCAATATCTACTTTCAACCTTTATCCACAGCCCCACCTCTCTCAGGGGTCTTACCTCACCACCGTCCTACATGTCCCTTCATCCCCTTCCCCTCTGTCCCAGGGAAGCAGCAGCCATAACTGTCAGCACGGGGGGAGGCTTGTGTGCAGGGCACCCTGCTAGACCCCTAACCTGCAGGGTCGCCTGTAGGGGCAGGCGCCGGGCCAGGGAAGGAGCTAGTGCACTCACGCCTCCCCAAGCACAGCCACGGGATTGACCGAGCTGCCAACCAGGTCTGGCTCTCCTGATGGTGTGGTCTGTGGTCAAGCTCACCCACCCCACACTTGGCTAGTCAAAGCAGGCTCTTCAGAGAGAGAAACAAACACCTCCAGGAAATGTGTGGAGCTCACGTTTACCTAGGCTGGCTTCAGTAGCCCTGTTCAGCCAAAAAGCACTATAGAAAACAACAGAAGTAGGCATTTTGATTTACCTGTCTCAGTCCTCGGGGAAAAATGTTTCTTAGGTAATCTCTGAAGCAAAGGGGCTTTTATTATTTCTTTTTAAATTAAAAGCATTTATTATAGATTATAGAAGTAATGAATGCCGGGATCCAGCAGTTAGCGTAATGGCTATGTCACTGGACTCCCACGTAGTCGACTGTGGTTCGCGTCCCAGACCCGGTGGCTTAAAACTCACACCGGGCGCGTGTGCGTGCGTGCCCGAAATCCCGAGAGGAGAATGGAGGAGAAGGGATTGCGGCATGACCATCCCCCCGGGGGGTGATTTCTCGCTTTCTGTCTCTATGTCTCTCTCTGTCTGTCTGGCGAGCGCACGCGCCTTATAGCAAAAAAATACTCTCGTGGTTCGCGTCCCAGACCCGGTGGCTTAAAACTCACACCGGGCGCGTGTGCGTGCGTGCCCGAAATCCCGAGAGGAGAATGGAGGAGAAGGGATTGCGGCATGACCATCCCCCCGGGGGGTGATTTCTCGCTTTCTGTCTCTATGTCTCTCTCTGTCTGTCTGGCGAGCGCACGCGCCTTATAGCAAAAAAATCCTCTCCAAACAAAAACAAAAACCAAAAAACAAAGAAGTAATGAATGCCATAAAGTAATGAATGTCATAAAGTTATGAAGAATACAAAGTAAAAAGTGGAGCTCCTGGGCCAGCCCCATGGCCTAGTAGTTAAGGGAGCCAGATCCCATGAGGCTGACCGCAGTTTGAATCCCAGCCCTGTTGACTTTAAAAGCACTGGGTGTATGGGTGTGCCCAAAATCCTGACTCCTGATGAAATGGAATGAAGGGGACCACGAAGTGACCACGCCCCATTCTCCCTCTCTTCTCTCCTTGGTGATTAAATTAAAAAAAAAAAAAAAGAAAAAGTAGAATTCCCTTTGCCCTCTGTCCAAGTCTTGTGCTGCATAGTAGACTTTGATGATAATTTCCTTCTGTTGCCTTTCAGAACTTTTCTAAGTAAAGCAAGTGTGTATGTGGACCCAGTGGGATCATACAACTATGACATATAAATTGCTTTTTAAATTTATTAAATTGATGAGAGAGACAGAAAGTGAGACAGCAAGCCACCAGGTCTGGGATTCGAACTGTGGTCAGCCATGAAGGAGTCTAGCATCTTAACTACCACACCACCTGCTTGTCCCTACAACTTGCTGTTTTCCATGAAGTATGTTGAATAGCTTTTTATAACAGTGCTTATGGAGTTGTAAGATTTATTTTGGCTGAAAAATTTTTTAATAAAAAAAAGTCCATCAATATTTTAAATTTGTGAAGATCCATGTACTAACTAGAAAGAGACAGAAATAAAGATTACCCGCCCTCCTCCTCCCCAGTTGGGTATAGTTGTACTGCAATCCCTTCTTCTCCATTTCTTCATTCTGTTGGGATTTGTGGCATGCATGCACACATACCTGATGTGTTATTCTTCCCTTTTTTTTTCTTTTAAATTTGCCAGAGGGAGTCTAGACTGGAGAGAGAGGGAAAGTAAGAAAGTACCCCTCATGGGGAATGGCCATGCTGCAGTGCCTTGTTCTCCATTTCTCCCTCCTGTTGGGATTCTGGGTAATGCATGCACATGTGCCTGGCTTATTTTTCAGGCCATCAGATATAGGACTCGAACTGCACTGTCGGCCATGTGAGATCCAGCTGCCTTAACTACCACACCACTGGCTGGCCCTTTGGCTTGTTTTCTTAGGCTGCCAGGGCCAGGATTCGAGCCTTGGTTGTCCGTATGGAATCCAGCTTCCTTAGATGCCCCACTAGGGCACGAAGCCAGTCAAGGTCATCGGCTTAACCTAGCAGCTTTTTAAATTTTTGAGTCTTGCTCCTAATCTTTGTAAAAGCATTTCTCATGCCTACACACCCCCTCCTCATCTGATCTTGTGCCACACACACACTTGCAGGGAGCTCACATTCCCCCACATGCTAAGCTACTGGGTCAGGCTGGGAGGCCTGGTGGGGGAGGAGAGGGGGCAGCACTCCCAACCCCAGGAGAACCCAATGATGAGATCGGGCCTGTCTTCCATTTGCATGCCCTGGGCTGTCAACTCTTGAAAGGCAGATCCATTTCTGTTCTTCTCCTTTTTTTTTTTTTTTTTTTTTTAAATTTGCCAGATGGTACATATGCTTGCCAGAGACACAGAGACAGAGACAGAGAGGGAGAGAGAGAAAGCACCTCCCCAGTGAGGCATGGCCACACTGTAATCCCGTCTCCATTTCTGCATCAGTAGGGATTTTGGGCATGCACGCACCTGCGCCCAGTGTGCTGTTCAAGCTGCCGGGGCCGGGATCCGGAAGCACAATCAGTGTGTGGAATCTGGCTCTTTTAGCCACCAGGACACCAGCTGGGCTTGTTCTCCTGTTCTGAGCATCACTGTAGTTCTGAGACAGAGGTTCCCCAAACTTTTGTGACTTATCTTTGCACTTGCTGTTCTCTCACTCTCAGAAAAGTGACACTTTTCCTTCGAGGGGCAGACTAAACGGTGTCT